AATGTGTTTAATTTTCTAAAACCTCTTGTATTAAAATTTTCTTTTGGAATAAAAAAAAAAAAAAAAAGAAATAGACAGATCAACCAGACAGAAGATCAACAAGGAAACAGCAGATTTAATCGACACTATTGCCCAAATGGATCTAACAGATATCTACAGAACTTTCAATCCTACAGCTAAAGACTTCACATTCTTCTCAGCAGTACATGGAACCTTCTCTAGGATTGATGACATACTAGGCCATAAAGCAAGTCTCAGCAAATTTAAAAGAATTAGAATCATACCATGCAGCTTCTCAGACCACAGCAGAATGAAGTTGGAAATTAGCAACTCAGAAAACCCTAGAGAGTATGAAAACACATGGAGACTGAACAACATGCTCCTGAATGAACACTGGGCCATACAAGAAATCAAAAGAGAAATCAAAAACTTTCTGGAAGCAAATGAGGATAACAACACAACATATCAAAACTTATGGGATACGGCAAAAGCAGTATTGAGAAGCAAGTTTATAGCAATAAGTGCCTATATCAAGAAATCGGGAAGGCACCAAATAAATGAGCTTTCAGCACATGTCAAGGACCTAGAAAAACTGCAGCAAACCAAACACAAATCTAGTAGGAGAAGAGAAATAATTAAAATAAGAGAAGAAATCAATAGGATTGAATCAAAAACAATTACAAAAAATCAGCCAGCAAAGAGCTGGTTTTTTGAAAAAATAAACAAAATTGACACCCCATTGACCCAACTAACTAAAAAAAGAAGAGAAAAGACCCAAATCAATAAAATCAGAGATGAAAAAGGAAACATAACAACAGACAACACAGAAATAAAAGAATCATCAGAAACTACTACAAAGAGTTGTGTGCCAGCAAACAGGGAAATCTATCAGAAACGGATAGATTCCTGGACACATGCAACCTACCTAAATTGAATCATAAAGACATAGAAAACCTATATAGACCCATAACTGAGATAGAAATTGAAACAGTAATAAAGGCACTACAACAAAGAAAAGACCAGGACCAGATGGATTCACTGCTGAATTCTACCAGACGTTTAAAGAAATAATTCCATTTCTTCTCAAACTATTCAGAAGAATTGAAAAAGATGGAAACCACCCAAATTCTTTCTATAAAGCCAGCATTACCTTAATCCCTAAGCCAGAGAAAGATGCAACACTGAAAAAAATTACAGACCAATATCCCTGATGAACATAGATGCAAAAATCCTCAATAAAATTCTGGCTAATAGAATACAACAACACATCGGAAAAATCATCCATCCAGAACAAGTGGGATTTATCCCGAGTATGCAGGGATGGTTCAACATTCGCAAATCAATCAATGTGATACACATTAAAAGACTGCAGAAGAAAAACCATATTATTATCTCAATAGATACAGAGAAAGCATTCGATAAAATTCAACACACTTTCATGATGAAAACTCTGCAAACTGGGTTTGGAAGGAACATTCCTCAATACAATCAAAGCAATTTATGATAAACCCACGGCCAGCATCCTATTGAATGGGGAAAAGTTGGAAGCATTTCCACTGAGATCTGGTACCAGACAGGGATGCCCACTCTCACCACTGCTATTTAACAAGTTCTGGAAGTTTTAGCCAGAGCCATCAGGCAAGAAAAAGAAATTAAAGGAATACAAATTGAGAAGGAAGAAATCAAACTATCCCTCTTTGCAGACGATATGATTATTTATTTAGGGGATCCAAAGAACTCTACTAAGAGACTATTGGAACTCATAGAGGAGTTTGGCAAAGTGGCAGGATATAAAATCAATGCACATAATTCAACAGCCTTTGTATACACAAGCAATGTCATGGCTGAGAAAGAACTGCTAAGATCAATCCCATTCACAATAGCTACAAAAACAATCAAATACCTTGGAATAAACTTAACCAAGGACGTTAAAGATCTCTACGATGAAAATTACAAAACCTTAAAGAAAGAAATAAAAGAGGATACCAAGAAATGGAAAAATCTTCCATGCTCATGGATTGGAAGAATCAACATCATCAAAATGTCCATTCTCCCAATAGCAATTTATAGATTCAATGCAATACCAATCAAGATACCAAAGACATTCCTCTCAGATCTGGAAAAATGATGCTGAAATTCATATGGAGACAGAGGAGACCTCAAATAACTAAAGCAATCTTGTACAACAAAAACAGCTGGAGATATCACAATACCAGATTTCAGGACATACTACAGGGCAGTTGCTATCAAAACTGCATGGTACTGGTACAGAAACAGATGGATAGACCAATGGAACAGACTAGAAACACCAGAAATCAATCCACACATCTACAGCCAATCTACATTTGTTTAAGGCTCTAAAACCAATTCCTGGAGCAAGGACAGTCTATTCAATAAATGGTGCTGGGAAAACTGGATTTCCACGTGCAGAAGCATGAAGCAAGACCCCTACCTTACACCTTACACAAAAATCCACTCAACATGGATTAAAGACCTAAATCTACGACCTGACACCATCAAGTTATTAGAGAACATTGGAGAAACCCTTCAAGATATTGGCACAGGCAAAGAGTTTCTGGAAAAGACCCGGGAGGCACAGGCAGTCAAAGCCAAAATCAACTATTGGGATTGCATCAAATTGAGAAGTTTCTGTACTGCAAAAGAAACAGGAGAGTGAAGAGACAACCGACAGAATGGGAAAAAATATTTGCAAACTATGCAACAGGTAAAGGGTTAATAACCAGAATCTACAAAGAGATCAAGAAACTCCTCAAAAACAAAACAAACATACCACTTAAGAGATGGGCCAAGGACCTCAATAGACATTTTTCAAAAGAGGAAATCCAAATGGCCAACAGGCACATGAAAAAATGTTCAAGGTCACTAGCAATCAGGGAAATGCAAATCAAAACCACAATGAGGTTTCACCTCACCCCGGTTAGATTGGCTCACATACAGAAATCTACCAACAACAGATGCTGGCGAGGATGTGGGGGAAAAGGGACACTAACCCACTGTTGGTTGGAATGCAAACTGGTCAAGCCACTATGGAAGTCAGTCTGGAGATTCCTCAGAAACCTAAATATAACCCTACCGTTCGACCCAGCCATCCCACTCCTTGGAATTTACCCAAAGGAATTTAAATTGGCAAACAAAAAAGCAGTCTGCACCCTAATGTTTATTGCAGCACAATTCACAATAGCCAAGACCTGGAACCAACCTAAATGCCCATCAACAGTAGACTGGATAAAGAATTTATGGGATATGTACTCTTTAGAATACTATACCGCAGTAAGAAACAATGAAATCCAGTCATTTGCAACAAAATGGAGGAATCTGGAACACATCATGCTGAGTGAAATAAGCCAGTCCCAAAGGGACAAATACCATATGTTCGCCCTGATCGGTGACAACTGACTGAACACCAAAAAGGAAACCTTTTGAAGTGAAATCGACACTATGAGAAACAGTGACTTGATCAGCCATAGCCCGGACTGCTATGAACAACTTAATACTTTATCCCTCTTAATATTTTTTCTTTGTCTGTTCTACTTAATTCTATTGGTTTAATTCTGTAATTAATACACAGTTATTCTTAAGTGTTGAAATTTCACTGAAAAATAATCCCTGTTAAATATAACAGTGGGAATAAGAGAGGGAAGAGATGTACAATTTGGGACATGCTCAAGCTGACTTCCCCCAAATGGTAGAGTTAGAAACATACCAGGGGACTCCAATTTAATCCCATCAAGGTGGCATGTACCAATGCCATCTCACTAGTCCAAGTGATCAATTTCTGTTCACAATTGATCATAATGAAAGGACTAAGAGTCAAAGGGATCACATAAACAAGACTAGTGTCTGCTAATACTAACCAATAGAATAAAAAAAGGGAGAGAACAATCCAACATGGGAAGCAAGATACACAGCAGACTCATAGAATGGCAGATGTCCTAAACAGCACTCTGGCCTCAGAATCAGCCCTAAAGGCATTCCTATCTGGCTGAAAATCCCATGAGAGTATTTCAGGCATGGAAAGCCAAGACACTCTGGCAAAAAAAATGACCTAAATGAAAGATCTCTGTGAGTGAGATCTCAGTGGAAAGAACAGGTCTTCAAAGAAGGAGGTACCTTTCTCTGAAGGGAGGAGAGAACTTCCACTTTGACTATGACCTTGTCTAAATAAGAGTCAGTGAACTCAAAAGGCTTCCATAGCCTTGGAAACTCATGACTGGAGCATAGGGAGATTACTTATGCCATAAACAGGAGTGTCAGTTTGTAAAGTCAACAACAAGAGTCGCTGTGCACTTACTCCTCATGTAAGATCTCTGTCCTTAATGTGCTGTACATTGTGATTTAATGCTATAACGAGTACTCAAACAGTATTTTTCACTTTGTGTTTCTATGTGGGTGCAAACTGTTGAAATCTTTACTTAATATATACTAAACTGATCTTCTGTATATAGAGAATTGAAAATGAATCTTGATGTGAATGGAAGGGGAGAGAGAGTGGGAAAGGGGAGGGTTGCAGATGGGAGGGAAGTCATTGTGGGGGGAAAGCCATTGTAATCCATAAGCTGTACTTAGGAAATTTATATTCATTAAATAAAAGTTTAAAAAATTATATATGTGAAAGTTTTCCATTTATATAAATAAAAAGATTGAGAAGAAAAAGAAATTGGTGTCTCTGTGGGGAGGTTGTTGCTGAAGCATTTCATTCAACTGGTATCTCCGTTACCAGCCAGCTTGATCTTTGAAAATCTGATAGTTTTCAATTGCATAATTAAAATATGGTCAAAAATGTCACTGTCCCTGGAGAAGTAAAAGTTATTTCTGGTAGAAATGTCCAGTGAAAACTTATTAATTTATCAACGCTTAATTGACTCATTTTGTTTTCATTGCAACCACCAGGCCAAAGGACACTCAAGATAATATTTAACTGAAGTTCAAGATTAGCACATGTTTAGTGATAAGCATGCAGCATGCACTATGTTTATAACGTCTGCAGATCCTAAACTTATGATTGCATTTGGACAAATCACATCCATGGATTTCTTCATTGTCCTGGTGATTTGTCTTTCTTGTTTGGTTTTTATTTCTCTGTGGAAGCGAAGCTATGACAAAGAGAAGCTCCCACCTGGCCCCACTCCTCTTCCAATTGTAGGAAATATCCTACAGTTAAATACCAAGAACATCAGTAAATCCATGAGCATTGTAAGTATGATCAGTTTTCTCTGAATTGCTTCAATGAGTTAAGAAGGTGGTCCTACAACTATACAAAACATAGTCTTAAACAATGTTTGGTTTTCAAGGGAAAGTTTTTTTAAACAAGAAAAGTGTCCATTGGACACCTAACTGTGATTTTAGGATGTAAACAGTTAAAAGGGAAAGAGAACAATGAGATAATTATTAAAATTTCCAAAAGTAGGAATTCTTTGTTCATATTGTGATCCAGATCACCTCTATTGAAATCATTCTTTGATGAAATCTAATGGATATGAAACTACCTTAAGTTATTACAAATTTGCTTTAGCCAGCACTGTGGTGTAGCAGGTTAAGCCACTGCCTGGGCTGCCAGCATCTCACATGAGCACAGATTACAGGAAAGTTCTGGGCTCATGGCTTTTGCCTGCCCTGCCCCAGCCTAGACAGTTACAGCCATTTAGGGAGTCTACCAGTGCACTGAAGATTTCAATTTCTCTCTGTCTTTTTCTCTCTGTTTGTAACTCTGCCTTTCAAATAAATAAATAAATAAATAATAAATAAATCTTAAAAACAAACAACTGATGATTTATAGTCACAGCAGTAAATTTTCCTAAAGCACACATATTAATTTGAGATAAAGGAAATAAGTAATAATTCAGGAATTTTCACTGTCTGACTATATTTTCTCAGTAAATGAGTCAATCATGTCTGTAGTCCAAGTTATTCACAAAAGAGCATCTCTCTGAACTGTGAATGAAATATCTGAAATTTGTCTTTTCTGCAAGATAACGGCGTGATCAGAGCTCTATCCCTGGAAGCCCCTTCTTCCTATACATTGTACTCTGGATTTGAAGAGAATGTGTCAGCACTGCAACTCATTCACTTGTTAATTCATGATCTTGGGCAAGTTTCTCAATTTCTCTGAATTTAAGTTATCATTTTTAAGCATGTATAGTAACTTCTTTGCAAAAGTTGCTTGAATATATTGTATAATCAATAAGTAATTAAATTCTACCTTGCATTACATAGGATGTTAGGTGTATACAAACCATTTTCTTTTTTTTACTTTTATTTAATGAATATAAATTTCCAAAGTACAGCTTATGGATTACAATCGCTTCCCCCCCATAACGTCCCTCCCACCTGCAACCCTCTCCTTTCCCACTCCCTCTCCCCTTCCATTCACATCATGATACATTTTCGATTCTCTTTATATACAGAAGATCAGTTTAGCATACATTAAGTAAAGATTTCAACAGTTTGCTCCCACACAGAAACATAAAGTGAAAAATACTGTTTGAGTACTAGTTATAGCATTAAATCACACTGTACAGCACACTAAGGCCAAAGATCCTACATGAGGAGTAAGTGCACAGTGACTCCTGTTGTTGACTTAACAAATTGACACTCTTGTTTATGGCCTCAGTAATCACCCTAGGCTCTTGTCATGAGCTGCCAAGGCTATGGAAGCCCCTTGAGTTCACTGACAATAGGTAAAGATAATTAAGACCTAAGAGTCATGGAAAATTTTGTCTTGAAAGTAAGCTGATATTTATTAAAAATGCAGAAAAGTTTATGGCTGTAATTCACATAACAGGGAGGAGATATAAAGAGGCCATGTAGTGTTGAGGATCAGGTGTGTAAAGAGTCATCAATGGGTTCTCTGAGAAACTGAAGTTGGAAATGAGCTCTAAGGTATGAATAAGCTTTAATGTGATGAAATAGAGATAACAGCCAGTTGTACATGTTTACAGTCTGAGGGAGAATAGTTTGTTGGAGACCTTGACTGTGAACCAATGCAGTTGTAGCCCAGAGAACAAATTAAAAACATGTTCATAGGGCAAGGTAACAATGGAGGAAAGCAGAGGTTAGAGCACGCAGGTGTTGCTAGGATTTTAATAATATTGGTATTTGTCATAAAACACAATTATTCGTAGGTGTTTAAATTTAAGTGAAAAGTGATCTCTGTTAAATATAAGAGTGGGAATAAGAGAGGGAGAAGATGTATAATTTGGGACAAGCTCAAGCTGACTTGCCCCAAATGGTAGTTAGAAACGTGCCAGGGGATTCCAATTCAATCCCATCAAGGTGGCATGTACCAATGCCATCTCACTAGTCCAAGTGATCAATTTCTGTTCACAATTGATCATAATGAAAGGACTAAGAGTCAAAGGGATCACATAAACAAGACTAGTGTCTGCTAATACTAACCAATAGAATAAAAAAAGGGAGAGAACAATCCAACATGGGAAGCAAGATACACAGCAGACTCATAGAATGGCAGATGTCCTAAACAGCACTCTGGCCTCAGAATCAGCCCTAAAGGCATTTGGATCTGGCTGAAGAGCCCATGAGAGTATTTCAGGCATAGAAAGCCAAGACACTCTGGGAAAAAAAGACCTAAATGAAAGATCTCTGTGAGTGAGATCCCAGTGGAAAGAACGGGCCATCAAAGAAGGAGGTACCTTTCTCTGAAGGGAGGAGAGACTTCTACTTTGACCTTGTCTAACTAAGATTGGAGTTGGCGAACTCAAAAGGCTTCCATAGCCTTGGCCACTCAATAAGAGCCTAGGGAGATTACTGACACCATAAACAAAAGTGTCAATTTGTTAAGTCAACAACAGGAGTCACTGTGTACTTACTCTTCATGTAGGATCTCTGTCCTTAATGTGTTGTTCAATGTGAATTGATGCTATAACTAGTACTCAAACAGTATTTTACACTTTATGGTTCTGTGTGGGTTCGAACTGTTGAAATTTTTACTTAATATATGCTAAATTGATCTTCTGTATATAAAGAGAATTGAAAATGAATCTTCATGTGAATGGAATGGGAGAGGGAGCAGGTGATGGGAGGGTTGCAGGTGAGAGGGAATTTATGGGGGGAAAAATCCATTGTAATCCATAAGCTGTACTTTGGAAATTTATATTTATTAAATAAAAGTTAGAAAAAGAAGAAAAAGTAAATGAAGCCATTGACATGGAGTTTCATATTAACATTCACCTTGTTAAAATCAACCAAATGTTTGCTTTATGCAGAATATATTATTGGGCACCAAAAGGAGTTCATCATGAGACAAGTTGAAAGAGGGTAATCTTACTTCCTTCTTCCTACCTCCCTCCCAAAGTGTCATTATATTCTTAAAATTGTATCTAGGAACTACAATGAATGTGCTCTCTTTGTATTAATATCACATTAATAGGGGAATTGATAAAAAATTATGTAATGGTATTTATCATGCATTTTCTGTGACCCTAAGAATTTAATGTATTAATAATTCCTCAAAAATAAAAAAGAAAAATTTGGCCCTATAGCATTTAGGATACCACATAAGCTGACATGACAAGACCCCAATAACACAAAGATTACAAGAACATAGAAATGTATATCTTGGCAGAGCTCCAAGATGGCAGAATAGGGAGGGCGCTCACTGATAGTCCAAGAAAAGATATTTTAATGAAAGTGCAGATACTGCAGTCTCAGGGAAGAGTTAGGGAAAAAAACTGCAAAGGAAACTCTCAGAAACTAGTGCAAAATGGGGGACCTACGTGGAGGGCATGGGTGCCCATGGCTCGGGACCCCAGCTGCCGAGTCTATGCACCAGCACTGGAAAGGGAGATGAGGCAAAACAGCAGTATCCTGAGACACTGGTGGAAAAGCAACACGAAGAGCCTAGAGGGAACGAAGCTTGAAGCCCCGTGGGGGAAAATTCACCAGCCTAACTAGAGGAGAGAAAATAAATAAAAGGGACCAGTACAAACACGATTCTCTCTCTCCACTCACCTTACAAAGGCGGGGAAAACAATACAGCAGGCACCATTTTGGACAAACGTAACAGCAGGGCCAGCTCAGGGCTGTGCACACCCTCAGCCAAGCAGAAAAACCTGACTCTGGTGGGGAGAAATAACAGGAGGTCAAGACCTAGTGAGTGTGTGGAGCTTATAAACTGGGACTGTGAAAAAAAAAAAACTGAGGGTGTGTGGGAAAACTCATGGTGTGGCTGAGACATGAGTAGTCGAGGTGGGGGATACCACAAACTCGGTAACCTTGGCAACTCGGCGGGAGATTGCAGGGGAATCTGAGCTTACACTGAGGATTGCACAGATCCTTTGTGTGGTCCTTGGGACAGAGCAGATGAATATTATACCCACTGGGGCTAGCACTCAGGCACTGATTGCCATCAAGGAGAAGAGCTCAGCTAAGCAGAATTACTTCCCTTCTAAATAAAGAGAGAGAGAGAGAGAGAGAGAGAGAGAGAGAGAAGATTTACCATTCCAAGCCTGGGTGTGTCACCTATGGCACAGACTTAACCGTGAAAAACTGAACAGAGTTCTCTGGCAACACCCACCACAAACCTCTAGGGATTCACCAAAACCAGACAGTCCACTTAATCTACAGACATAGTATAATGAGAAAAGCCGCCACAATGGGAAAAAAAAAGAAGAAATCAAATATCTCCACAATTCCAACCAACAAACACATAAACTGAGGAAACAACAACAAGGAAGACATTATGATGCTCACAAATGAACATAACACTCCAATACAAGATCATGAAGATGATGAGATAGAAGAAATGCAAGTTATGCATTTCAAAAATTTATGATAAGAACATTTAGAAGTTATGAAAAACAAATTCATGATCTATAGAAATCCATATGGGACAGGACAGAAAATCTCTGTCATGAAAATGAACTCTTAAGGAGGAATCAAAATGAAATGAGTAATTTTATAAAACATGAAATTGTGATATGGAAGAGAAATCAAAATGAAATGAAGAATTCAATAGAACAAATGACAAACGCATTAGAGAGCCTTAAAAACAGAATGGGTGAAGCAGAAGAGAGAATATCAGACTTAGAAGACAGAGCACAGGAAAGTATACAGTCAATCCAAAGGAAAAAAGAGGAAATTAGAATCTAAAAATATTATGGGGAATCTACAGGATACTTTTAAAAAAACCAACATTCGGGGTATAGGAGGTCCTGAAGGCATGAAGAGAGAGAAAGGATTAGAAGGCCTTTTTAGTAAGATACTAGCAGAGAACTTCCGGGTTTGGAGAAGGACAGAGACATCCAAGTACAGGAAGCACATAGAACCCCCAATAAACATGACCAAAAGAAATCCTCACCACGACACGTTGTAATCAAACTCACCACAGTGAAACATAAAGATCTAAAATGTGAAAGAGAGAAACGTCAGATTACTCTCAGAGGATCTCCAACTAGACTCACAGCAGACTTCTCATCAGAAACCCTACAGGCTAGGAGGGAGTGGTGAGATATAGCCCAAGTACTAAGAGAAAAAAACTGCCAGCCCAGAATCTTATATCCTGCAAAGCTCTCATTTGTGAATGAAGGTGAAATAAAGATCTTTTATAGCAAAGAGAAATTAAAAAAATTTGTCACCACTCATCCAGCCCAGCAAAAGATGCTTAAAGATGTGTTATACACAGAAACACAGAAATATGGCCATCAATATGAAAGAAGGTAAAGGAAGAAAACCTCCCAGTAAAAGATCACAGAAAGTTCAAAGCATATATTAGAAATATCTTTTGGAAAATTGCAGGGCAAAGTCACTACTTATCTACTTAATATGACTGGTTTAATTCTGTAATTATCACACAGTTATTCTTAAGTGTTGAAAATTAACCGAAATGTGATCCCTGTTAAACATAAGAGTGGGAATAAGAGAGGGAAGAGATGTATAATTTGGGACATGCTCGGGCTGACTTGCCCCAATTGGTAGAGTTGGAAACATACCAGGGGATTCCAATTCAATCCCATCAAGGTGGCATGTGCCAATGCCATCTCACTACTCCAAGTGATCAATTTCAGTTCACAATTGATCATAATGAAAGGACTAAGAGTCAAAGGGAGCACATAAACAAGTCTAGTATCTGCTAACACCAACCGATAGAATAAATAAAGGGGAGAGTGATCCAACATGGGAAGTGAGATACTCAGCAGACTCATAGAATGGCGGATGTCCTAAATAGCACTCTGGCCTCAGAATCAGCCCTAAAGGCACTCGGATCTGGCTGAAAAGCCCATGAGAGTATTTCAGGCATGGAAAGCCAAGACACTCTGGCAAAAAGATCTCTGTGAGTGAGATCCCAGTGGAAAGAACAGGTCTTCAAAGAGGGAGGTGCCTTTCTCTGAAGGGAGGAGAGAACCTCCACTTTGACTATGACCGTGTCTAAACAAGATAAGAGTCGGAGAACTCAAGGGGCTTCCATAGCCTTGGAAACTCATAACTGGTGCATAGGGAGATTACTGATGCCATAAACAGGAGTGTCAATTGGTAAAGTCAACAACAGGAGTCACTGTGCACTTACTCCTCATGTAGGATCTCAGTCCTTAACGTGCTGTACACTGAGGCTTAATGCTATAACGAGTACTCAAACAGTATATTTCACTTTGTGTTTCTATGGGGGTGCAAATGACTGAAATCTTTACTTAATGTACACTAAACTGATCTTCTGTAAAAAAAAAAAAAAAAAAAAAAAAAAAAAAAAAAAAAAAAAAAAAAGAAAGAAATTTTCAATTCCCAACTTGACTCTCACTGGGATTAAACATGACAATAGGTCTGATCTGATTTCATCATCATTTTAAAAAAATCATCTATTATTTTTCACTTTATGTTTCTGTGTGGGAGCAAACTGTTGAAATCCTTACTTAATGTATACTAAGCTGATCTTCTGTATATTAAGATAATCGAAAATGAATCTTGATGTGAATGGAAGGGGAGAGGGAGTGGGAAAGGGGAGGGTTGTTGGTGGGAGGGACGGTATGGGGGGGGAAGCCATTGTAACCCATGAGTCGTACTTTGGAAATTTATATTCATTAAATAAAAGATAAAAAAAAAAAAAAAAAAAAAAAAAAAGAAAATTGCAGGGCAAAGTCACTACTTATCACATTGAATGTTAATGGCCTCAACTCTCCAATTAAAAGACACAGATGGGCCGAATGGATTAAGGAACAAAACCCATCTATTTGCTGCTTATAAAAAACACATCTTTCCAACAAAGATGCATGCCGACTGAAAGTGAAAGGTTGGAAAAAAATAACCATGCCAACAGAAACAAAAAAAGACCTGGTGTAGTCATATTAATATCAGATAAAATAAGCTTTAACACAAAAACTGTTAAGAGAGACAAAGAGGGGAACTATATAATGATTAAGGGTTCAATTCAACAGGAAGATGTAATGATTATACATGTATATGCACCTAATTACAGGGCACCAGGTTATTTAAAAGATATGTTAAGGAACATAAAAGGAGACGTAGACTCCAATACAGTAGTACTGGGGGACTTCAATACTCCACTTTCAGAAATAGATCAACTAGACAGAAGTTCAATAAGGAAACAGCAGATTTAATCGACACCATAGCCCAAATGGATCTAACAGATATCTACAGAACTTTTCATCCTACAATTAAAGAATACACATTCTTCTCAGCAGTACATGGAACCTACACTAGGATTGACCACATACTAGGCCATCAAGCAAGTCTCAGAAAATTCAAAAGAATCAAAATCATACCATGCACCTTCACAGACCAACAAGGAATGAAGCTGCAAATTAGCAACTCAGGAATCCCTAGAGCATATGCAAACACATGGAGACTGAACAACATGCTCCTGAATGAACAGTTTTTCATAGAAGAAATGAAAAGAGAAATCAAAAACTTTCTGGAAGTAAATGAGGATAACAACACAACATATCAGAATTTATGTGATACAGCAAAAGCAGTGTTAAGAGGAAAGTTTAAAGAAATAGGTGCCTACATCAAGAAATTGGAAAGGCAGCCGATGCTGTGGCTCACTAGGCTAACCCTCCACCTGCAGCACCGGGATAAAACTTCCACTTTGACTATGAACTTGTCTAAATTTGATCGGAGTTGGCGAACTCTAAAGGCTTCCATAGCCTTGGCAATTCATGACAAGAGCCTAGGGTGATTATTGACATCATAAACAAGAGTGTCAATTGTTAAATCAACAACAGGAGTCACTGTGCACTTACTCCCCATGTAGGATCTCTGTCCTTAATGTGGTATACTTTGTGAATTAACGGTATAGCTAGTACTCAAACAATACTTTATACTTTGTGTGTCTGTGTGGGTGCAAACTGTTGAAATCTTTGCTTAATATATACTAAATTGATCTTCTGTATATAAAGATAATTGGAAATGAATCTTGATGTGAATGGGATGGGAGAGGGATAGGGAGATATGATGGTTGCAGGTGGAACGGAGGTTATGGGCAGAAAAAGCCACTGTAACCCAAAAGCTGTACTTTGGAAATTTATATTTATCAAATAAATATTACAAAAAAGAAATGTATATCTCCTCTAATGATCTATGGGTGAGTGTTGGTGGGCTGTCTCTCCTCCATAGGGTCATTTTGAGAACCAGTTTTCTTTATTCTGTTAATGCTACTAACCCATGTTCCTAGAATGCTGTTCACATTTCATTGTTATAGATAAAAATCTCCATGTTATCATTTTAACCACTAGTAATGGAAGAAATAGCTCTTCATGCAACACCACAGAATTTGCACATATCACTTCTGCTAATGTCAGTTAAGGAAATAGCCAAAGGATCACATCAAATTTCAAGTAAACCTGGACAATGAAACTGACCAGCATGCCATATTCTCCATCGTTAATTAAATTAGGGGTTTCTGGCATTAGAAAGAATATGTGGAGAATGGAAAATGTAGGACAATTATAGTCAATATATCAGGTATTTTGGAGGGATTTCTCTTAAACAGGAAGAGACAAAGAGATAACAAGTAATTTATTATATTTATCACAATCAAGGAGAAATTTGGAGCAAAACAGATTTGACAGAAAAAATGTTTTAAAAAAATGAAAAAAATACATAATATTGCCCCTGTCGCACATTAAGAGTTTCACAAAGAATAATTATTTATGGTGATACCACAATGCTAAAGTTATTAGTAATATAATAGTTGTTGCCATTTAAATAATGTTTTTTCCTCTTAGCTTCTAATTTTGAAGATGAAATATTTTATAATGCTGAATGAACATTAAAATGTGTGTCTTATAGATTTAAATATTTCCCTCACTTATCTACATTTTATTTTTAACATTTTAACTTTTCCTGTATATTCTGTTCCTGTTTCAGCTAGCAAAAGTCTATGGCTCCTTGGATGCCAGCACTGCGGCTCACTAGGCTAATCCTCCACCTTGCGACACCAGCACACCGGGTTCTAGTCCCGGTCAGGGTGCCAGATTCTGTCCCGGGTGCCCCTCTTCCAGGCCAGCTCTCTGCTGTGGCCAGGGAGTGCAGTGGAGGATGGCCCAGGTGCTTGGGCCCTGCACCCCATGGGAGACCAGGAGAAGCACCTGGCTCCTGCCATCGGATCAGCATGGTGCGCCGGCCACAGCGCGCTGGCCACGGTGGCCATTGGAGGGTGAACCAATGGCAAAGGAAGACCTTTCTCTCTGTCTCGCTCTCTCACTGTCCACTCTGCCTGTCAAAAAAAAAAGTCTATGGCCCTGTGTTCACTGTGTATCTAGGCATGAAGCCCACTGTGGTGCTGCATGGATATGAAGCAGTGAAGGAGGCCCTGGTTGATAAGGGAGAAGAGTTTTCTGACAGAGGAAGTCTTTCATTGATTGACAAAATCACACAAGGATCAGGTATGCTTCTTTCTGTGGAATGCAAAGGTTTGTGAGTTGCAAAGATTCCAAATAGGCTAAAGTTTTGACTAATTGTAAGGCTTTCAGGAAATTTACGAATATACTTTTCATTTAAAAAAAACTGTGAATAATTTTTCTTTAAATCATTATTAATGCATTTTTTAATCTATGGATGCAACAGTGCCCCCAGCAAACATTAAATTTGCCACCTATGTCTAATGAATTTGTGCTAAAAACTATGAAACTCTTTTTAAAAGATTTATTTATTTGAAAGTCAAGAGTTATAGAGAAACAGGGAGACAGAGACAGAGATCTTCCATCTGCTATTTCACTCCTCAAATGGCAGCAACAGCTAAGGCTCGGCCAGGATAAAGCCATGAGCCTGGAACTCCATCTATGTATCCCAGGTGGGTACAGAGGCCCAACAAGCACTTGGGCCACCTTCCAATGTTTTCCCACACACATTAGCAGTAGCTGAATTGGAAGTGGACAGCTGGGACTCAAATAGGCACCCATACAGGATGTCAGCATTGCAGGCAGTGTTTTAATGCATTATGTCACAATACTGATCACTAGATCAACTTATTTTAGAAGGGAAAGGATTTTTAGGGCTCAATGGGAATTCCTGAAGCTTACTAAATTGGCTGTATTTCCATCCTTCTTAAGTATATAGATGATTTCCAGAAATGAGTACTCTCACCTAGAATTCATGAAAATGAATTAAATTCTACTTTTTTTTTCTTTCGCTTGATAGGACTTGCTTTCAGCAATGGAGAAATATGGAAGCAAACCCGGCGTTTCTCACTCACAGTTTTGTGGAACGTGGGGATGGGAAAGAAAACTATTGAAGATCGAATTCAGGAAGAAGCTTTGTGTCTGGTAGAAGAGTTAAAAAAAAAAAAACAATGGTATATATTTCTTTGTATAATTAAGAGCAGTAATTGGATAGACTAAATACTATTATAAATAGTGTAAATAATAATGATGTCTCAAGTACAAGATAAAAATATTTCTTCTCATGTAAGAGCGGTAAGCATTGAAACTGTTGGCATAAAAGCTCTTTCAGGCACCCAGATGATGGGGATTTTGTATCTTCATCCTTTAGCTTCTAACATCATGCAGGGCATGTGTCTTTGTGTGGTTGTAGAAGGGAAGGAATACCAAAACAAGGAAAAGAGAAAATGGTGTTTCAGTCATGTATGGAAGTGGCACACAAAATTTCTCTCACATCCATGAGCTATAACTTTGTAACAGGGTCACCCCTGCAAGAGGGGTTGGACAATATGGTCAGCTGTGTGCACAAGAAGGTGAAAAGAACATGGGGTTTGTAATGAGCTAGAAGATGTGGCCATATTAGCATGAAAAACTGAGTAAGCTCTCTAGTAGTGTCTTGAGTAACATTGCAAGGATGAAAATTTTTCCAAATGTGAAAGCTAAATTTTGGCTCATATGGAGGAGTGTGGGTGTGAAGTGGGGGCTGCTATGTCACAGTTCTCTATGGGGCATAGATGTGTATATGCACACACCAGCCTAGGAAGGAGGTGGAAGAAGAAAGAAGTGGACAGTAGACTAAGCAGAGAAGGGGGAAGACCAGAACCATAAGATAAGTATGGTTTTGGAGTATCAGTATTCCAATATTTTTAAGATGATTGGTAATTCTATAAAGAAAATACTGAATTCCCACTGTATTTTTAACCATATTTATACTATTGTCTCTATAGTTTTGTTTCTCTTTTATTTTGCTATTAATGTAAAAATAATAGAATTCTTAGAAATCTTTGCATGATCTAATTTCTACCATTGCATAAGTTTCTTGAGATTGAGTGTCACTGAACATTTGGGGAAGGAGGGTTTTTGAAACATATTACCTAGGAGTGGATGGGTGATATTTCTGAAAAGGGATAAAAATATGAGGCATATACTACCTCTATTGATCTATAAGCTTACTTTAAGTACTTATGCATTAATGTAATTTATTATTTTAAAAGATGGTTTTTTGATATAAAATTCACAAATCATATAGTTCACTTTTTTTCAAGTGGACAATACAGCAGTATGTTCTCAAGAGTTGTGCAATCTTCATGAAAGTGAATCTTAAAACATTTTCATGGCTCAAGAAAGAAACTCTTTTAACCATTAGTGCCAATCCAATTTATCTTACCCATACAATTCACCTCTTTTTCCCTCATCCTTAATCTCAGGCAATTACTTATCTACATTCTTTCTCTATACATGTGCTTATACTAGACTTCCCCCATCCTTCCATCTAAATGTGATTATGTGTTGTTTGATCCACATATCCCCTTCTACCTTTCTTCCTGACTACTCAAGTTTCTGATAAGTACCACACTACCCTATCCTGTGAGATATGAGACAAATAATGGAGTTTTTTTGTTTCCCTACCTCGTCTGCTTTACTTAACGTAACATTTTCCAGGTTTATTTCTGCTGCCAATGATGGGATTTCATTCTTTTTAATATCTGAATGCTATTGCATAGTGCATATATATCACATTTATTTCTTCCATTTATCCATTGATAGACACCTAAGTTGATTCCTTTCTTGGTATTGTGATTAATGCTTCAAAAAACATGAGAATGTGGGCATAGCTTCAATATATTGATTTCCCCTTGTTTAAATTTATACCAAAGAAAGGATCACTGGATCATATGGTAGTTATAGTTTCAATTTTTTTCTGTGTCCTACCAGGTTCCCATTATCCCTTACTGGGTTTTGCAACTTGTCCTTAGACAATTAACTAACACAGCTATCTATTTAATGTTTGCCTCTTCTGGGAAGGAGGAAGCAAACTCTGGGTACTTCTATACAACCCTCTTGAGAAAAATTGTCTTTGTAAAATATTTAACTTAAAGATTCTGTTGTCTGATAAAAGAACAGGAAAACCTCTTCTCTTCTGATTTTCATTGCATGAAATGCCATTTTCATCCCTTTGTTTTCAGTCTGTGTGTGTTTTTTTAGGTCAAGAAAGTTCTTGTAGGCAGTATGCAGTGGGACTTGTTGTTTATACATTCAGCTACTCTGTTATTTTTTCCATTTGGAAATTTAATTAAGTGATTATCAATAAGTAAAGAATTCTTCATACAATTTTAAAAAATTGTTGTTTTCTAGATTTGCTCACATATTCCTCTCTTATTTAACTTTGGGGTTTGGTGGTGTACTTTGATTCCTTTCTCTTTCTCATATGCAAATGTGCTGTAATTTTTTATTTATGTCCATCGTGGGGCTTAAATAAAATATATTTTGCTACAATAGACTGTCTTTTTATTTAAGGTACACAAATTACATGTATGTAATTTAGGAACATAGTGGTACTTCCCATCCTACCTTCCCTCCCACCCATGCTCTCACCCTTCCTCCTCCTTCCTCTCCTAATCCCTCTCTTAATTTTTACAATGAACTTCTTATATTCACATATTCTTATATTCATAACTTCTTATATTCACAAGATTAACCCTACACTAAGAGTTCAACAAATACTAAGAAGAAAAACAAAACACTGTTCATAAACAATCATGAAAGCTCAAAATGTCAATTTCACTCCTATACATTACATTTTTAGTGCTCTTAATTACCACAAATCAGGGGAAATACATAGTTCTGTTTGTTCCAAAGAAGAGAGCACTTGAGCTTTCTTCATTTTTCCAGGTCATCCATACATAGGTTATGGGTAAGATAAAGGTGAAGATTAAAAGCTGCTAGCAGCCAAACCTTATAATATGGATTTGTACTGTTTATTACACATAGAAATCTGCTTAAAACTACAATCGATTTTTTAACATATCAATATAACTTCAAGCACTTTCATTATTTTTCTCTTCTGTAAGAAAAGCACCCTATGTTTTGTGAAATGAAATTTAACTTGCCTTGTAGATTTACTTGTTAGGTTACTCAGCTCTCTGTGTACATGATGAAAGAATATCCACATTAAGATCTAAATTCCACACATGAAAAGATATTTTTGAATTATTTCTTTTGAATTATTTTTCATCCTGCTCATTAGAAAAGTTTGGTTTATGATATGAGTAGTAGAATACTTGTGAGGACAGTAGCAAATAAACTGGAGTGAAGGAGACAGCTTTGTTTGAGTAACTGTAATTTCATTTTAGCAAGTAAGGCTTATAATGATGATGACATGTGCAAGTATTCAATCCTTCCCAATTATTTTAAACTCAATGTAAGATCTGATGTACTTACTTCTGCTTCTTTTCTTAGCACCTCCCTGCGATCCTTCTCCACTTCTGTTCTGTGTTCCCTGCAATGTGATCTGCTCCATCATCTTCCAGAATCGTTTTGACTACAGTGATCAGACATTTCAAACCTTGAATAAGTATTTTCATGAAAACACTAGACTTTTGAGTACTCCCTGGGTACAAGTAAGGTCAGAGTTCCCTTTAAATGTGAAATATTTTTATAAGATATCTTTTGCTCATTCCTCTGAACCATTTAAAAGCATCCAAAGTAATGTTTTTCATGTTACTACTTGTAACTGAAGCCAGCAGCCTGGGAGTCAATAGGAGTATCCCATGTGGGCAGCACTCACCTAAGTAATTTATACATCCTGTACTGCCTCCCTGGATGTGATTTAGCAGGAAGTTGGAATGAGACCTCAGCAGGCTCTCAAATCTAGGCACACTGGTATGGGATGCAAGCAAGACAAGCAAGCAATATCCAAGTACTACATAGAATACCTGCCCCAAGTAAGGTAATTTGGGGGAAATTTTTTTCCTCAATTTTTATGTAGAGTGTGGTAATGGGAAATGTATTCCTTATCATGGTTCATTTTTAGAAAAAGCAAAGAAGTTGTGTTTTATAATCATTAGCAATTAAAATTCTACGTAAATCATACATCAGGATGTGTTCACTCTGGCAAGGACACTAGAATAAAATCTACTCTCTCTAAATTAGGAACAGCAAATTTGAACTCAGAACTATTCTTTATATTTTCCAAAGTTATTTAGCAAGACAACCTGAGAACTAGATCTAGAGTCTAGATTTCCTTTTCCTTTAAAAAAGATTTTATTTATTTGATAGGCAGAGTTACAGACAGAATGGAGAGACAGAGAAAGGTCTTTCATCCACTGGTTCACTCCCAAAATAGCTACAATGGCCAGAGTTGGGCCGATCTGAAGCCAGGAGCCAAGAGCTTCTGCCAGGTATCATCCCATGTGGATTACTTGAGCCATCTTCCACTGCTTTCCCAGGCAATAAGAAGAAAGCTGGATTATAACTGGAGCACTGGGACACGAACCATTGCCCATGTGGAACACAGGTGCCACCGGCAGAGACTTAGCCTACTATGCCAGAGCATTGGCACCCAGATCTAGATTTTCTAAGTCTCTATTTATTGTTTTATTCAAGCTACAATTCTGAGTAAGTTGTTTAAAAGTTTAATTCATCACTAAGGTATTGTCTGAAGCAGAGGCTGTGAGTTCTAGGACCAAGAAGGAACTTTGAGTCAGGTAAATGTGCATATTCCTGAGTGTGGAAAATGCCCAAATACAATAAGCTAAGTGATCTGGGTACCTTCTTAATCTTCCTGTTGTACTGTTTCTTCATTATAATAAAAGAGTATGAGTCCTAACTTTTTTGGTGACTCCCTGGAGAAATACGTGTAGTGTAAGTTGGAACGAACACTGAGTTCAAACTCTGATCTCACTAAGTTGTTGCCTTTGAGTTGTTATCTGACCTTTCAACTTCAATATTCTTATGTGGAAAGAGTTGACAAGAAGGATATGTGAATAACCCAGAATGGGTTCCAAGATGGTGGTATAGCAACAGGATGATCCGAGTCACACGAGGAAAATTAAATAGTTAAAAAGGAGAGAGGATACATGCTGGAGATAGAGCCGCAGGAAATTCACAGCAGGAATTCTAGGAGATCAACAGAGACTGGGCAAGTAAATGCTGACGGAACAAATAAGAATGGAAGTTGTGGAGGTGCAGCCAAGATGCGGAATAGGGAGGCTGGTGCCAGCCCCCAGTGGACCAGGTTAGATGGGAAATCGTGGATCCATGGAGCTGCAGACAGCAGCAGTAGGGGGAGCATGGTGAACTGCATTTGAAGTTCCATGCAGGAAAAAAGAGAAAGTATAGAGGAACAAAAAGAGAGGTCGGGCACCCCTCTGCCCATCTACGTACCCTCCCCCAACCAGACCTGCAGCTTTCTTTTTTTTTAGAAACCTTTTATTTAATGAGTATAAAGTCCATAAGTACAACCTTAGGAATATAGAGACGCTTCCCACCATACTCACCTTCCCGTCACCACTCCCAGCCCACCTCCTCCTCCCTCTCCCATTCTTTATTACTGATTGAATTTCCATCTTGGTAATGGGTCTGTTTAGGTTTTCTATGTCTTTTTGGCTCAATTTAGGTAGGTTGCAGGAATCTATACATTTCTTCTAGGTTTCCCAGTTTGTCGGCATATAGATCTTTGTAGTAGTTTCTGATGATTCATTTTTATTTCTGTGGTGTCTGTTGTAGTATAGGAAGCAAGTCCTAGTCATCTTTACCTGCTCAGCACATAGCAGAGTCTCACAAGTTATAAGGACTTTCGAATGTTTGTGGAGTGAACTAACAATGAATTTCTTCCTCTTTCAGCTCTACAATATTTTCCCTATTTTACATTATCTCCCAGGAATTCATCATCAGTTATTTAAAAATATTGCTTTTCAAAAGAAGTTTGTTTTAGAGAAAGTACAAGAACATCAGGAATCTCTGGATGTGAATAACCCTCACGACTTTATTGACTATTTCCTGATTAAAATGAAAAAGGTATAATGTGACTCCAATATGCTACTTCACATTTGTGGGTGACATGACTCATAGAATAGCTTTATTTTTCCTGGTGAAACTGGGATATTAACAAATGCTCCTTAATGAAGGTATATTCAATGCATAAGCCAGCCATGTCAGGTGTCTCATTCAAAAAAAAGACTTTGAAGATATTGTATCAACCATGTTAAAGCTGGCTGTTTATTTGGGGACAAATTATAACACATATATACACACTTACATACTTTGTAGAATGATGATAGCATATCATTACATAAAAATACTTCCCAATATTGAACATGTAACAAATGAGTGAACATAGGCATGAATAGGGATCCAGGAAGGCTTACTTTAAAAAAATTATAGGAAACCTCCACAGAGAGGTAAGTGTTGAGGAATTTCTGGATGAAGTCATCAAGGACAATAAAATGAGTCCAGGGGATAATAAGCACCATGGTGAAGTGCATAGAATTTTCAGAGGTTATCTGGATTTAGCTGAAGATCAGTGGTGGGTGTAATGATGTGTGAAGTTGGGAACAGTGATGTAGTTGGAGGTGAGAGGGTCTGGAGGCCAGGAAGAGAAATGTGCACAGGATAGAATAGCAAAGAGCAGGCCACATAGACGGTGAGTAACAGTGAGCGACATCATAGAAATACATGTTTGGAAGATACTAAGGGGAATTGATTGACTCTGAATCAAACAATGAATAGTCAGAAGGATTTTTGAACTTTGTAAATCTAATTATATTTTAGCATTTTGAATCAGTCCTAGTGATTCAGCTATAGCAGTCTCTACTCCCTGGGTTAATTTGCTAAATTCTTCTGTTATAGCGAGTTATTTTGTATTATTTCTAATGATTTTGTCTTATCATGTAATTCTAACGCATCTTTGCTAGGGAACTCTCGAAAAAGAGTCTGAATTTACCATGGACCACTTGATCATTACCATATTGGATGTGTTCAGTGCGGGGACAGAAACAACGAGCACCACACTGACATTTGGACTCCTGCTCCTGCTCAAGCATCCTGAGATTGCAGGTATCACCACAACAATGGGCAGGAAAAACAACTGGAAGAGTTAGAATCGTGCCAGGGGATTCCAATTCAATCCCATCAAGGTGGCATGTACCAATGCCATCTCACTAGTCCAAGTGATCAATTTCAGTTCACAATTTATCACACTGATAGGTCTAAGAGTCAAAGGGATCACACAAACAAGACTAGTGTCTGCTAATACTAACTGATAGAATCAAAAAGGGAGAGAACGGTCCAACATGGGAAGTGGGATACACAGCAGACTCATAGAATGGCAGATGTCCTAAACAGCACTCTGGCCTCAGAATCAGCCCTTAAGGCATTCCTATCTGGCTGAAAATCCCATGAGAGTAATTTAGGCATGGAAAACCAAGACACTCTGGGGAAAAAAAAAAAGAGGACCTAAATGAAAGATCTCTGCGAGTGAGATCCCAGTGGAAAGAACGGGGCCATCAAAGAAGGAGGTACCTTTCTCTGAGGGGAGGATAGAACTTCCACTTTGACTATGACCCTGTCTGAATAAGATCGAAGTCGGCGAACTCAAAAGGCTTCCATAGCCTTGGCAACTCATGACTAGAGCCTAGGGAGATTTCTAACGCCATAAACAAGAGTGTCAAATTGTTAAGTCAACAACAGGAGTCACTGTGTACTTACTTCTCATGTGGGATCTCTGTCCTTAATGTGTTGTCCAATGTGAAGTAATGCTATAACTAGTACTGAAACAGTATTCTACACTTTGTGTTTCTGTGTGGGTGCAAACTGATGAAATCTTTACTTAATATATACTAAATCGATCTTCTGTATATAAAGATAATTGAAAATGAATCTTGATGTGAATGGAATGGGAGAGGGAGTGGGAGATGGGAGGGGTGTGGGTGGGGGGGAAATTATGGGTGGGGGGCCATTGTAATCCATACTGTACCAGAGAGCTGGACTGGAAGAAGAGCAACTGAACAGAACCGGTGCCCCAACCGGGACAAGAACCCGGGGCACTGGCGCCGTATTACAGTAATTTAGAAACACAATCATAAAATTACTTTGTTAGGACATAGTGTAAGATATAGTAGCCCTTTTTTCCTTCACATGACAGACTCTGTAAAAAGTTTAAAAAAAAAAAAAAAAGAAAAAAAAATAATTTCACTAAATCCTATAAGACCTATGTTTATTGAAATTAAAAATAGGTTATGACATTTTCTCCAAAACAGTAAATATTTTGCCATTTCAAAATCATTTCTTTTGTCATATTTCCCCATCATTTCCATTTTTATTTTCTATTTTCATTTTTCTTAGCCATGCTCTTATATATTCTCTCTTCCTATCTTCTTCCCTTATGGTGTCAATCTAGTGAACATTCTGCCTTTACCAGTGGTGGGTTTTTGGTTTTGGTTTTTTGGTGTTTTGTTTTGTTTTGTTTTGTTTTGTTTTGTTTTGTTTTGTTTTTTGACAGCCAGAGTTAGACAGTGAGAGAGAGAGAGACAGAAAGAAAGGTCTTCCTTCCGTTGGTTCACTCCCCAAATGTCCGCTACGGTGCTGGCGCCGCAGATGGAGGATTAGCCTAGTGAGCCGCAGCTCCAACCCAATGGTGGGTTTTTTAAAGATTTACATTATTTATTTGAAAGACAGAGTTACAGAGAGAGGTAGAAACAGAGAGAGAGGTCTTCCATCCACTGGTTCACATCCAAATGGCCACAATGGCTGGAGCTGTGCCAATCTGAAGCCAGGAGCTTCTTCTGGGTCTCCCATGTGGGTGCAGGGGCCCAAGGACTTGGGCCATCTGCTATTGCTATCCCAGGCCATAGAGGAGAGCTGGATCAGAAGAGGAGCAGCCGGACTAGAACCAGTGCCCATATGGGATGCCAGCACTTCAGGCCAGGGCATTAACCCACTGCGCCGGCACCTATCAGTGTTGTTTTTTTCAAGGTTTATTTATTTATTTATTTGAAAGGGAGAGTTACAGACAGAGAGAAGGAGAGACAAAGAGAGGTCTTCCATCCACTGGTTCACTCCCTAATAACTGCAACTGCTGGAGCTGGGCCAATCAGAGGCTAGGAGCCAGGAGCTTCTTCCAGGTCTCCCACATGGGTGCAGGGGCCCAAGTGTTTGGCCATCTTATACTGCTTTGCCAGGCCATAAGTATAGAGCTGTATTGGAAGAGGAGCAGGCATGACACTAATTGGCACCACAGTATGAACCCTTATCAGTAGTCCTTGACCACTTTGTTTCACCATGCTATACTAGACAAAACTCCAACCTCTCAAACTGAAAAGAGGAAATTCATTTTTTGTCTGAAATTCCTTTTTTTTCTTCTTATACTTATAAATCACAGATTTTCAAATACTCCATTACAAAGATATACTTCTCAGTAGCAGATAAATGCTATCTGACCAAAGCAGCAACATGGTGTTACTACTTTGGAACACAGATTGTAGAATCCAATAGCAAGGCCTTCACGTGACCTGAGATTCATGGCTTTTCCTCATGTCTCCAATCCCTTCTCTGTATAAGGGAAACTATATGGCAAATACTACATATTACCTGAGTGTTATTAGGAAACACAATAAAATACCTAACTCATAAAACTGCTTTGATGAATTATAAAGTAACATAATAAATGATGTGGCATATGCATTATACATTATATTCTGAATGAATGTTAACTTTCTTCTTGTTCCTGAGTCAACTAAGCATCTTATTCTAGTCTATAGAGGGTAGTTCTCATCCTTTTGGAAATTATAAATCTAAAATACTACACTTGATTTTAGCCAAAAGGCCTAGAAGCGATCATACATCTAAAATAAAAGCAGGAATACATGGTCTGTAGTGTGCCTTCAAGATCCCAGAAACCTATGTCTCTCAAGTAAAAGCCAGAGAATTTGAGTTGAGGAATAAATTTCACCTTTTAGTTGTGTTTTATATGTGCGTGTATTTATATCTCCCATGAACATTCAGTCTTCCCAGATAGCTGAAATTGTTTTTGTGTTTCCCTTTACTGAGGTAATGGCACATTATTTCCCCATCTACCCATCTCCTACCACTATGTGACAATGATTAAAGTATTAAAAGAAACTGACTGTACATATGATTCTGTCCATGACAGCTAAAGTCCGGGAAGAGATCGAGCATGTGATTGGCAGACACCAGAGCCCCTGCATGCAGGACAGGAGCCGCATGCCCTACACGGATGCTGTGATGCATGAGATCCAGAGATACGTTGACCTGGTCCCCAATAACGTGCCCCGTGCAGTGACTTGAGACATCCAGTTCCGAGGATACCTCATTCCAAAGGTGAGACACATGTCATCTACTCTCCACCCCAGGAATCTTAGGCCATCAGTTATCACCATAGAATAATTGTAGATTACTGAGCCTTCTACAAGTTATGGCACTGTCATAACTCAGGCAGCTCACTCTGTGACCACATCCTCATCTCCCTACTGTTTGTTGACACAATTTTCTAAACATGGCAGTGCTTGGATTCCCAGAGGATTTTCAGTACCTAGATAGCTCCAAACTCTGCTTCTCTGTTAGTCAATCAGTTGTCCTCTTCCCATTTTTCCAGGGTATATTTTATTACTCTTATTAATTGACCAATATCATATATTGATCATTTCCACTGAATTGAAGAATCTCCAGTTCAGTATCCTCTTGCCTCCCAACAAGAATTTTGGCAACTGATCATTGTAGTAAAAAGACCATGTGCCCACCAGGATGATATTATTATTACCAACCCCAAATGTATCCGCAGCTGTACCCAACAATCCTGTTTTACAACCTAGCTCAACTCACTTCACCATGCTCCACAAGGACCCCTTCAACCCTGAACTCTCCTCAAACTTCAATGCTCCATTATCTTCTTTTTCTCGGTATTCTGCCCTTCCACCAAAGACAACTAGAGCCCTTGGAAGGGAGCTCTCTGGATCCTCTTCCCCTAGATTTGCATGCTTAACTACATCCATCTCCTTTGAAATACCTTCATCTTTTTGGTGAAAGAATGACTCTTCTTTGATCTGAAGTGGACTTTTCTCTCTGCAACGTGGATCCCTTTCTTCTCACTTTTACAAGGGCACTACTCAAATATTTCATTTTCTTTTAATCTTCATCATCCCACTCCTCCCTGGCTCCTTTCTCTCAACATTCAACATGCTAAATTCTCTTGTATCTTTTTTTTTTTACAGGCAGAGTGGACAGTGAGAGAGAGAGAGAAAGAGAGAGAGAAAGAAAGGTCTTCCTTTTGCCATTGGTTCACCCTCCAATGGCCGCCGCCGTGGCCGGCGCGCTGCAGCCGGCGCACCGCGTCTATCCGAAGGCAGGAGCCAGGAGCCAGGTGCTTCTCTTGGTCTCCCATGGGGTACAGGGCCCAAGCACTTGGGCCATCCTCCACTGCACTCCCAGGCCGCAGCAGAGAGCTGGCCTGGAAGAGGGGCAACCGGGACAGAATCCAGTGCCCCGACCAGGACTAGAACCCGGTGTGCCAGCACTGCTAGGCAGAGGATTAGCCTATTGAGCCCAGTGCCGGCCTAAATTCTCTTGTATCTTAAAATACTCTTATTCCTAAACTCTAACCACACTCTCTCACACTTATACAATCAATGATCTAATCAATTCACAGAAGAAGTTAGTTATATATATAAATATATATAAATCATTTCCTAATCAGATTTTTTATCAAAAACCAATTAAGAAATATCTTCCATTCCAGTGACACTGTTTTCATCAAGTTCATGGATGCCAATATGATTACATTAATGGATGCTTTCCAGACTTCGTTTCACATGGCCTACTGGTAGTGATTAATACCCTTTGAGAGGTCTTCAGTTAGAATATGCTTGCTCCCACATCAATGACATGATAATCTCTTAGTTTTCCTCCTATGATTCTGGATATTTATTCTCTCTCTTCTTTAGCTTATAGAACTTTAGTTTCCATTTTGTGAATTCTCGGTTGACTGGTGATGGAGTGTTTTAGATTAGTCTGAAAATGTCTGTGTATTACCTTCATGGTCTGTGATTTCCCCTTCTCCCATTTCTCCTCGTCCCTCTTCTGATGACATTCTTTCCACCACTTTGCTCTTAGAATTATGCTGGATTTATAAAATGTTTCAAGAATTGCTTTCCTCCTCAGTATTTCCTGAAAGTGTCTAAGTTAAAACTCATTTTACTTTTTTTAAAGATGTATTCATTTTACTTGAAAATCAGAGGTACAAAGAAGGAGGGAGGGAGGAAGAGAGAGACAGAGAGAGAGATAGAGACAGACAGAGAGACAGACAGAGATCTTCCATCCACTGGTTCATTCTCCAAATGACCACAACGGCCAGAGCTTGGTCAATCTGAAACCAGGAGCCAGGAGCTTCTTCTGGTCTCCCATGTGGGTGCAGGGGCTGAGGACTTGGGCCATCTTCTACTGCTTTCCCAGGCCATAGCAGAGAGCTGGATCGGAAGAGGAGCAGCCGGGACTAGAACCAGTGCCCATATGGAATGCTGGCACTGCAGGTGATAACTTTACAGACTATGCCACAGGGCCAGCCCTCCATTTTTACTTTTTAAACATTAAATGAATGATTTGGAGTTGGGTCCATGTATGTCTTTTTTTTTTTTTTTTTTTTTTTTTTTTTTTTTTTGACAGGCAAAGTGGATAGTGAGAGAGAGAGACAGAGAGAAAGATCTTCCTTTTGCCATTGGTTCACCCTCCAATGGCCGCCACGGCTGGTGTGCTATGGCCGGCACATCGCACTGATCCAAAGGCAGGAGCCAGGTGCCCCTCCTGGTCTCCCATGGGGTGCAGGGCCCAAGCACTTGGGTCATCCTCCACTGCCTTCCCGGGCCACAGCAGAGAGCTGGCCTGGAAGAGGGGCAACCAGGAAAGAATCCAGCACCCCGACCGGGACTAGAACCCGGTGTGCCAGCGCCACTAAGTGGAGGATTAGCCTAGTGAGCTGTGGCACCAGCCAAGGGTCCATGTATGTCTAACTGAAAAGTTACCCAGAGGTTGAGAAGAGTTCATCTAGAGAATTCATGGCTCCTCATCTCTGGATCTGTTTCTGGGATTTTTATTTTAATATTTGATAAATTACTGAAAAATGTTTCCCACTTTTTTAAAAGAATTATTATTTATTTTATTTGAAAGTCAGAGTTACATAGAGAGAGAAGTAGAGGCAGAGAGAGAGAGAGAGAGAGAGAGAGAGAGAGAGAGGTCTTCTATCCACTAGTTCATTCCCCAGTTGGCCACAACAGCTGGAGCTGTGCCAATCCAAAGCCAGGAGCCTGGAGCTTCTTCTGGTCTCCCACGTGGGTGCAGGGCCCCAAGGACTTGGGCCATCTTCTACTGCTTTCTCAGGCCATAGCAGAGAGCTGGATTGGAAGTAAAGAGCCGGGACTTGAACCAACGCCCATATGGGATGTCAGCACAGCAAGGGGCGACTTTACCCACTATACCACAGAGCCGCCCCCTGTTTCCAACTTTTTTAAGGCTTGGTATAACTCTTTGTTATGTGGATTAATTTCAAACATGAAATTAGTCTTTAGGAAGGACCCTTAAATCTAGACTGATTTCTAGGACCAACTGGCATTTTAGGGGTCATCATAGAATATCTGGGTTACCAAGAATGTTCTTTGTGTCCTGGCTGTGATTGGGCTTTAGCACCTTCTATCATCTGGGATCCACCTGCAGTTCTCAACACCCCACTGTTTATGTGCCAAAGAGCTTTGTGGCACTTCCTCTTGTTATGTGACACACGACCCACAGCCATGGACTTACGAGACTGATCTTCTGCACTTTTGAGACCCTCCCTGCTTATAGATTCCTTCTCTCCTGGACCTGTTCTCACAAATTCTGGGTACCTGATTTGATCTCCATCTACTTATCTGGAGAGCAGCACAACATAATTTGATCTTCACTGTTCTGCACTGTGGGAAGAAAATGCTCTACTCTGAATGTAATCATTATTATAACAGCAATGAAGTTTCACTGTACTGAGCATTTTAACATGAGTAAACTTTGCATAAGGAGTATTTATCATTCATTGTGTCTTTGGTTATTTGTGATAACTAATGCAAATATGTTACATTTAATACATTGAAGTATTTAAATGTTAAACATATCTAGAGCTCAAATGGTTAACTTGACAGAAATATTCCACTGATTCTGACCTGTTCTGAAAACTAATCTTAACTCCTTATGTTTTACTATATCAATGAGTTTAGGAAAAACTTTGCAGAAACAAAAAACAATGCTTACCTTTTAGAAAGAATATGTGACAATTAAATGGAAATAACTGGAGACAGAGGAGATACAGGAGAACCCTGATGACTAATAGTTAGACTCCCTGTGGTTTGACTTTACAATGGTGGGAAATTTAAATATATTCAGTAGAAAGTGTACCTTGAATTTCAATTTTCCCTAGGCTAACAATATTTCATAGAATATTTTCATGTGATGCTGAGGAGGAGCAGAAAAATCCAGATTTTGCATTCAGCCGCAGGTTCACAAAGGTGCACATCCCACACTGTAGCTGTAGTGTATTGTGTTGCAAAGATTTGATGTTCAGTGGGTTCAGTTCATTATATGCATCTATGATGTAACAAGTTCCCAATTACCCTGGGTTCATCAGGGCATAATCCATCATAGTAAAGGAGCATCTGTTTTACCAGCTATCATCTGTAAGTGGAACTGAAGGCTTTACTAGTAGGTAACTAGTCATTTTTTTTTACTTTTATTTAATGAATATAAATTTCCAAAGTACAGCTTATGGATTACAATGGCTTACCCCCCATAAACGTCCCTCCCACCCGCAACCCTCCCCTTTTCCACTCCCTCTCCCCTTCCATTCACATCAAGATTCATTTTCGATTATCTTTATATACAGAAGGTCAGTTTAGCATTCATTAAGCAAAGATTTCAACAGTTTGCTCCCACACAGAAACATAAAGTGAAAAATACTGTTTGAGTACTAGTTATAGCATTAAATCACACTGTACAGCACACTAAGGACAAAGATCCTACATGAGGAGTAAGTGCACAGTGACTCCTGTTGTTGACTTAACAAATTGACACTCTTGTTTATGGCATCAGTAATGTCCCTAGGCTCTAGTCATGAGTTGCCAAGGCTATGGAAGCCCCCTGAGTTCACTGACTCTGATAGATGGATTCACTGCTGAATTCTACCAGACATTTAAAGAACTGACTCCAATTCTTCTCAGACTATTCAGAACAATCAAAAAAGAGGGAGTCCTCCCAAATTCTTTCTATGAAGCCAGCATCAACTTAATTCCTAAGCTGGAAAAAGATGCAGCATTGAAAGAGAATTACAGACCAAATTCCCTGATGAACATAGATGCAAAAATCCTCAATAAAGTTCTGGCCAATAGAATGCAACAACACATCAGAAAGATCATCCACCCAGACCAAGTGGGATTTATCCCTGGTATGCAGGGATGGTTTAATGTGCGCAAGACAATCAATGTGATACACCACATTAACAGACTGCAGAAGAAAAACCATATGATTATCTCAATAGACGCCGTGACTAGTCATTTTCTGAGGTCTGAAGAAGGCCTGGTATATTTCTAAAAGAATGAGGTAAATTTTCACTGATATCAGCACTGTTACTGCTATTTATTTGTAAGGAGCAAAGGAATCCAGGGAGCTTTGCTGATGTTCTACAAAGTAAGTGCTGGTGTCAGATTACAAACTAAGGAAATGACTTTTAAGTCAAGGACCAATGCCCTGCCCAGGACATCATGTCAGTTTAGACCTGATAGCTTGCTCATTAGTTTATTCTGTGCCATGGAGCAAATTAACTCTCTTTTTTGTGCTTCCTTCTCCTTATCTATAAAACAAAAGGATTAGATAACAAATTTATTGTTTTGTTTCAAGTTCTTTCTTCACAATCCTATTTATGTGTTTCTCTTTTTATCAGGGCACGAGTATATTACCATCTCTGAGTTCTGTCCTGTATGATGACAAAGCGTTTCCCAACCCAGAGAAGTTTGACCCTGGCCACTTCCTGGATGAAAGTGGAAACTTTAAGAAAACAGACTACTTCATGCCTTTCTCCACAGGCAAGCAAGCTTCCTTTTCACCTGCTCATCTGGGGTCAAGTGAGATGAGGATGTGCTCTGCATGGAGCCTCTCTGGCTGGAGGAAGTGCCTCTTCCATGAGGCTAGAAATACCACGCCCAAGGTCCAGGCTGTTTGTCCTTGGACTGGAGGCTGCTTCCGGATCCACCACTGAGATTCTTAAGAGCACCTAGTAGTCCAGTTTCACCAGTGTTCTCATCAGCCCTGAGCAGCCATTTCACTCAATGAATTTCATAGGGCATCTCACATGCAACTATTCCATGCCCATCATATTCAGGGACAGAAAAGAAACTGAAAAACAGATGTTCCCAGAAATGGTGAGAAAGACAACTTAACAGACTATGAAATACAACTGTGAGGAATGCTTTCCTAGAGGCTGCTATGCAGAACCAGAGAGAAGAACTCAATGTTCATTTTAGGGACAAGAGTAGTACAGTTTAAGGGTAAGGACAGAAATGTTTGTAAGAGAAATTGTCTTGTAGGAAATAACATTTGAGCCACATCACTCAATTTGTAAGAGCCTTGTAAAAAAAAATAGGTGGCACACATAAAAATTTAAATAATTGGTTTAATGATGAGACTTTTTTTTTTTTGACAGGCAGAGTTAGACAGTAAGAGAGAGAGAGACAGAGAGAAAGGTCTTCCTTCCGTTGGTTCACCCCCAAATGGCTGCTACAGCCTGCACGCTGCACCGATCTGAAGCCAGGGGCCAGGTGCTTCCTCCTGGTCTCCATGCGGGTGCAGGGCCCAAGCACTTGGGCCATCCTCCACTGCTTTCCCAGGCCACAGCAGAGAGCTGGACTGGAAGAGGAGCAACCGGGACAGAATCCAGTACCTCAACAGGGACTAGAACCCAGGGTGCCGGCGCTACAGGCAGATTAGCCAAGTGAGCCACAGCGCCGGCCAAGACGGTTTTCAGAGGTGTGCAAGGAGAAGGAAATGGGTGCTTTAAAACTATCTCCATCAAAAGGATGATCCCATCCTAGTTCGGAAGAGACAAGGAACCTGAATTGGTCTTCGCCAATCACCAGGAGATGTCTCTATAGGCAAAGGAATACAGACGCTGCCTCAGCTGTGGCCTGGCAGAACTGGATTGAAGGGATAAATACTGGATCTTTTCAACATCTAAGCCTCTGAATTTATTCAGAAATAACTTCTGTGTTAATGCAGTATAGAGGAGTCTGTTTTTCAGAACAATTAGGGGAAAAAAAAAAAAAAAGACGAACCAGTACAGGATGACTCTGGAATGTAGGAGTGTAGGAGAAATGGAGAGTTTTCTCTACACACCAAAAAAGAAGCAGGACACAGAGAAGAAGCTTCTCTACAGAGGTAGCAGTGTAAGGCTGCCACAAAACACTCCAAACACGGGAGTTAAGGGAAAGGGTCTATTGACTAGGAAATCTGACAGGCCAGAGGGAGGGGGCGAAGAAGAGAGAAAGAGGGGTCCAGAGAGAGAGCACGTGTGCAGGAACTAGGTCCTGTTGTGCCTTTGTGGGGGTGGGCGGGCAAGAGAAGTAGGAGCAGCAAATCCCATCAGAGTGGGGGGTGGAGCTGACACCAGTGGTTGGGCCATCTGGTCACCTGGCTTCCAGCAATGGCAGTGGAGACTAGAGGCTATGACGATGTCTGGGAGGTAGATCACACCACAGATAAGACTTACTAACAAACAGAAAAACGGGGACAGAAAATGTGAGATTTGCTCCTGATTAAGCAAATGCACAAATAGGTTTTGAGGTATCCTTGATGTTGTAGTTCCAGAATTATGTGCAATGCACAGGGATGATCTAAAAGTAAGCCACTGCTACCGTAATCCTTATCATATTTTTGTATTTGGAGCCAGGCCTACTTTTGCCTGACACTTTGGATATCATTAAAAATCTAAAGATTTCTCTTAAGAACTTACATTCCTTTGTGAGTCAGATAAAAAATTTAAATCTCAAGTGAAATGCACTGGCTAAAACATTAGTGAGTGTTGTAGAAAATTGATAAGGAAGTGAATTGTATAAAATGGGCACATCAAAGAGGTTAGTATAAAATCAATGATCACTGAGATAAATCCAGAAGCATTTAAAGAATATGTAATAGAGCACAGGGCAAAAGGAAAGACTGGAGTCAGATAAACTTGACGTTGTCAGTCTGTTCAGGGAGTGGTAAAGAGTTGGCAACTGCTTGGTGCAGGACACTGAGTGGAAGGAGGGAAGGAAATGAGGCTCTCTTTTACTTGTAGATTTTCTTTTGTATAGTGTTATAGTATCATTCAAACACTAATTGATTAAACACAATGACATGTCTAGCATATTTTTGAAGGACAAAATTGTGTTTAAAAATAAGATATCTTCTAAATGTAAAACTTAAGGCATATGAAAACAAAACTAAATATTTGAAAAACAGAGAAGAGTCTGTGGCGTGTTTGCAGCATTTGTTTTTATACCTGGCAATGGTAAGCTCTTGAAATATTTTTAATCAAATAATGAAAAGGTTGAGATTATCCTTTAGATAATGCAACTGAGAAGAAATAAATTTGTTGCTGAGTACTGGGCCAAAGGCAGATAGAAAAGCATAATTTTGTGTAGCACACTGGCTGGGATAGGTGCGTGAGCCTGTGTGTGTCCGTGAAAAGATCACTGGCAAGTCTCAGCACAGCAGTGCTAACACAGATGTGCAGAAAGTACTTTTCCCAGGACACACACACACATTCACATGTTCAGGGGGAATGAAAAGAACCAGCTTGGGATATAAGCAGAAGGAGGTATAGGTTAATGAGCCACTCTTTAACACTTTTATTCATTTCATAGTTACTTATTTCTCCTGTGTGAAAAATTAATGTTTACGTCATTTTTAGGAAAAAGAGCTTGTGCTGGAGAGGGCCTGGCCCGCATGGAGCTGTTCTTACTCCTGACCACCATCTTGCAGCATTTTACCCTGAAGCCTCTGGTTGATCCAAAGGATATTGATCCCACGCCAGTGGATAATGGGTTTGTCCTATTCCACCTTTCTGTGAGGTATGCTTCATTCCAGTCTGAAGATGGCACCAGACTCCTGGGCGAGACCCTGCACCTTCCTCTGAACCAGACAGATTATTGCAGGCCTGTGTGTCACCTGTTACCCATCCATTGCTTACCAGCAATATGCCATTCCTGAACACTGTCTCTTCTAATTTCCCAATTCTTCAAGCTCCAGTTCAATTGCCCCACAAGGAAAAAAATTTGTTTCATCTTCAATAAAATTATTTTCATAAAGCAATCCAGAGTAATAAGGTATTTTCATCTCTGAGCCATCGGATGGAAGATCGATCTCTCTCTCTCTCTCTGCCTCTCCTCTCTCTGTGTAACTCTGACTTTCAAATTAATAAATCTTTAAAAAAATAAAATAAAATAATAAGATAAAAAAGATCAATGAAATAAAAAGTAAAAATACAGTGGCCCAGAGAAAACATATGATATTTACTTATTTTGGTCTGGCTTATTTCACAAAGTATAATGGTCCTCCAGTTGCATCCATTTTGTGATAAAAGACAGAATTTCATTCTTTTTGTTACAGCTGAGTAATAATCCACCATGTATATATACCACATTTTCTTTACCCAGTTGTCAGTTGATGGATCTCTGGGTTGATTCCATATCTTAGCTATTGTGACTGGAGCTGAGCTGCTATAACATGGGAGTACAGATAACTCTTTCATATGCTGATTTCATCTTCTTGAGTGAATTTCCAGAATGAGCTAGCTGGGTCATATTGATCTTGGACAGCTTATTAATAATTTTCAATATTAGTAATCTTGTGGGATCTTGCCACATATTCAGAGAAGAATTCTGAATACTGGCTCAAATAGACCAGATAACATGGTAAGTTTTTAAGAGTTTTATTCAGTGAGAGAAATGTGCAGGAGAGTGAGGGCTTTACTTAGGGAAGAAAGAGAAGTCTAGAAGCTAAGCTGGGTCCATTCCAAGCAGAGAGCAGGACAGGAGTGAGCCACATGGAGCAAGCATGCAGGCAGGAAAGCAGGGAGTGGGCAACCCCAAGGCCATGTGCCTGCCCGTCAACAAGGGCAACAGGGCGAGGGCCCACCGTGCTCCAGGTCTTTTACCCACTCTCAAAGGGGGGTGGTTACATAGTCTGACTGGCAGGTGGGTATCCAGGTGGGCTCAGGTAGGAGCGTGAAAGCACACAGGGGGCATAGTCTTCCAGCTCACGAATCTAATCAATTTTATCCTACCTGCCTACCAACACCAATATGATAAATCTATTTTCAGATTTCTGAGAAATTTCCATACTGTCTTCCATAATGGTTGTGCTAGTTTACATTCCCATCAACAGTGTATTAGAGTACATTTTTCTCCATACCTTTGCCTGCCTTTTTTATTTTTTAAATTTTAGATGATAGCCATTCTAACTGGGGTAAGGTAGATGATATGTAGAATACAAAAAGAAATGGTATATGACTGAGTTGACATCTTGTGATCTGATTATTATTTATAAAAATACTTACCTCCTTCCTCCCCTCTCCCTCTCTCCTCCTTCCATCTTGTCTCTTTTTTGTTTTAATTTTTGCAATAACATTCTTTCAATTTACTTTATAATCACAGAATAAGCAAGAGTCATTCTTGTGGAACAGTGGTCTTTCTACTATTTACTTGTTAATGCTATATTTACTGTATTATTAAACTTGTGATTATAAGTTAAATTGAAAATATGTTATTACAAAAACTAAAAGAAAAGAAGGAAGGAGGAGACAGAAAAGGAAGAGAGGAAAGTATCCTTATTTCTTAAAAGTGTGTATTTGAAGCACATGAAATCTGTTCTGTATTAATAGCTTTTTAAATAAAGCAGATACTCTTTAAGACAAAAGTTTGTTCTTTATATAGACTAACAAAGTGGATAAAGCCTAGACAAGACTGATCAATGGCTATGAGAGAATAGCCAATAGCAGGAATGACAAAGAGATCATCAATGTAATTCCTACTGATATTTAAACAGATAGGTACAGACAACATAGTAGGTAAAATAAAGCTAATGTATTCAAAGTTTATGCATAATCCTATAATGCTATGCAGACAAAATTTAAAAGCAGTATAAGAAGAAAGAGCAAATCTTAGTAGTTGGATAACATTAAATATTTGGATGCATAATTCAAAAACTTAAGACAGGTAAACTGAGAACCAGATGCTTCAGCAACAAATTCTAGAAAAGCTTTAAGCAAGCAGAAACCAACAAATATTACCAGAGATTAAAAAGAGATATTTCAAAATTGTTTATGCATTGCCTAGATAGATTACTCTTAATAAGAAACCTGATGTATGAAATAAGAAAGAAAAATTATAAGGCAACCATTCAAGAACATCAATACAAAAATCTAATATATTAGAAAATTTAATACAGTAATATGAAAAAAGTAATAAATTAGTTTGTTAGATACTTGGATATCAATGAATATCAATTAAGTAAAATTCACCAAATCAAGTCAATTAAGATCATAAAGTCAAAAATCTCAACACATGCAGAAAATACACTTCATGAATTTCAATAGTGATTTATGATTAATGATAAAAGCACTTAGCAGTTTAGAACTAGAAGGCATTTACCTGGTTAATGCCACTCTTAGGATCATTGGTTGCTATTCTCACCCTGTCTTTTATACTACAGTGTCTGTTCAAGTGTTTACAGAGGTGATAATGGAATGAACCAAGGCCTTCAGCAACCAGGTGGTCAACCAAATTCTGCTACAGAGATGTACTCAGCTCCCCACCCAGTAGACAGCGGCTTGAGACATCGCCCTATGCCAGCAAAGTGTACCTCGTTGCCCCATGTCAGCAGGAAGTAGCTCTAAAGACAGATTATTGCCCCTCTACCCCTCCTGGACTTTTGGAACTAATGTAATCCTATACAATTCCTGCTTTATAAAAAACAAAAGGGGGGAATGTTAGTAAAATGGCGCAGTCTTATCTATAGCACAGTCTACTCCCTGACACCATCCTGGGCTCTAGCCCCTGCCACCAGGTGGCCACATGGCCCAACCACTGGTGTCAGCCCCAACCCCATCTTAATAGGATTCGCTGCTCCTACTTCTCTGCCTGCCCACGGGCAAGTTACAAAAGGAACTGTTCCTGAACACTTGGTTCTCTCTCTCTCTCTCTCTCTCTCTCTCTCTCTCTCTCCTGATCTCTGTCTCTGTCTCTGTCTCTCTTATGCTCTCCTTCTTCTCCCCTTCCATCCAATCTGTTGAGTTTCCCCTAATAAACTCTTTCCCTTAAAAAAAAAAAAAAAAAAAAAAGAAATAGAAGAGGTTATCTTTAATATGACAAGGAGTTCCCTGAAAAAAAAAAAAAACAGCTGTTACTAAACTTTAATAACAAAAGATTTGAACTTTTCTCTCTGAAATTAGAAATTTGACAGAATGCTTACTGTCCCCACTTCTATTCAAAATTGTACTAAACAATCTAACCACTTCAATAACAAGTATAAAGTTGTAAAAGATAATGTCATTACTTTCAGATAACAAGTTTGCATCTGTGTAAATACAAAATAATTCACAGAAAATTTTAAATAAATAATTTTAAAATATTAAAAAATAAATAAAATTAAAATGTTTGTTTTGGGTGGACATTCTGATACAGCAGGCTAAGCCACCATTGTGATCCCTATATCCCACACCGGAGTGCAGATCTAAGTCCTGGCTACTCTGTGCTTCTGTTCCAGCTCCCTGCTAATGCTCCTGGGAGGCAACATGGATGGTTCAAGGGCTGAAGTTCCCACCACCCATTTTGGAGACCCAGATGGAGTTTCTGGCTCCTGGCTTTCACCTGGCCTGGTCTAAATTTGCAGGCATTTGTAGAGTGAACCAACAAATGGATTCTCTCTCTCTTTCTCTCTCTCTTTCTCTTTATCATTTGTTAATAGATTTAACAAAATGAATGTATACTTGAAAGTTTACAAATGGTATATGACAAAAATAGACAATGTTACATGTTCATTTAAAAGTAAATTTAAAAATTTATGAATCAGGCTAGATATTTTATTTCCAGACAGCTGTGATATTAGTAATTCACATGAAAATGTTTCAAAGATTTCCATTTTGAAGGACAAAGTAGTCAGATGGTTTTTAAAATTATTTCTTGTTTTATTTGAAAAGGAGGCAAAGACAGAAAGAGATATTCCATCCTCTGGTTCACTTCCCCAGATGCCTGCAATACCCAGAGCTAGACCAAAGCCAGTATCATACAACTCAATCTGAGTCTCCCATGTGGCTGGCAGGGATCACCTACTGCCTCCCAGGGTAGACATATGGAAGAAACTGGATCAGAAGTAGAGGAACCATGATTCAGACCAGGCACTCCAATATGGGATGTGAGCATCCTAAGCTACACCTTAACCACTGCATCAAATACTCACTTCATCTCCTAGCATTTAATAAAGACTTACAATCTAAACACTTGCAAATCATAGAATATGCTGAATTCCAACGAAGATCTCTGTTTATCCACTTTACATTTATAACAAGAATATTTTACTTCATTTTTCTTAATCCTAGCTGTACATTGAAAGCATCTGACTTTCACTTTTTATTAGTAATTCCTATATCCTTTCTCAGAATAATTGAACAAGAAGAGTTCAATTCAACAAGGAGAGTTAGACTATAAAGCACTTTTGTTATTTTATCACTGAGCAAAAGTCCACTCAAGAAAGATTAGAGCTGACTGGTTAACATTTAACATGTCAGTGGAAAACACACACACTGAATTAGCAGGGAGTGTTTTAAAAGCCTGGATTCCCGGCTCCTAGATGTGTCAGGAAAAAGGGAAAACTAGGGATCTAGCTGTGGCCCTGGTGTTCAGCCTTTCCTGTTTGTCAGTGCTCACACAAGCTTTGTCTTAACACACTCTGCACTTGAAACAGAATGGATTATGTTTGAGTTCAGGTAATTAATACTCCTTTCACCGTTAGCCTGTATCTGCTGGTACCTCTAGAAGCTGCATAGACAATCTGTTTGTCTTTGAACTCCAGATGCCTTGCATTTTTGGCTTTT